TTTTGGGATTTCCCCCGGACGGGGATTTGGAGCCCAAAAAGCCGGACATGTCCGGGAAAATCCGGACGTATGGTAACCCTAACATATTAAAGCAAGCTGTCCGGGACTGTGACAAAAGAACTGATAATGGTATGAGCAGCCCTGCAGCCATGAAGCAAGCCCAGAGAAGAGGCAATCTGACAGAGGCAGTACTTGCTATCACTGTTTCAGATGTGGCAGGAAAAAACACTACCAGTCGAAATGAGGTATAGGAAAAGCAGAGATAAAGCTGATACTGTGTCTGATTTACCAGGAGCAGCCTGCAGTTGCTGCTCCTGAGGGAATTCTGAGCCAAAAACATTTAAAATTCTCCACAAAATATTTTAAAATTCTGCAAATTTTATTTGTCAATAAATAAATGTGGAGACTCCAGCATGGCAGTGGGGAGCACAGGCCACTGGCTGCATGGAGGAGGGTAATCACCCTGCAGCCCTTCTCAGGACGTGGATTCTGCAGTGAGGCTGCTCCCAACCCTGACACAGCGCAAGGGCTGGGCCTGTCCCAGAAATACACCTGGGGCCCTTTTCCTCCACGCCAGGCGCACCAGGTGTGGGCAGGCAGGCTCAGACCGGCAGGATCCAAGTGTGGAGGGGCTTAGTGTGGGGGGATCCAGGTGTAGGATGAGAGGGTTCTGTGTGGTGCAATCTGGGTGTGGGCAGCTGAGTGAGGTGTCTGGGTGTGGGATGGGATCTGGATGCACAGGGCTTGGTTCGGGGGTTCTGGGTGCAGGGGCAATGGGATTCTGAAAGGGGTCTAGGCAAAAGTGGTTGCGGCTCAGCGGTGCAGTCTGGGTGTGGGGGACTCAGCAGGGGGGATCCAAGAGAACTTGGTGGGCTGGGGGTCCGGGTACAGCTGGTGGGGGCTCAGTGGGGAGAGGTTCTGGGTGCAGAGGCTCACCAGGGTGGTTCAGGTGCAGGGGAGGTGGGGGGGCTGTTGGGGTGGTGAGGAGTTCTGTGACACTGCCACAGCCCCAGGGCCAGAGGATTTCTCTGCCAACGCCATGGCCCCAGGGCTGGGGGAGCTGTGCCCTCCCTCTCTTTTGCAATAACGAACACCTGGCTTTAATAGCCAAATGGCTTGGAACCTGGAGGTTCATTGTAGCGCGGGTGTACTGTATTTCCTCAGAACATCATGTGTTTAACATGTCCCTCCAAAAGCGATCAAATTTAAATTCCTGAGCACGCCCCTGGTGGGTGGAAAACAATATCTCAGGGACACACCTTAGAAAGCTTGAAGAGTTATTGTAGAAGTTGGGCTTGATTTTAACACTGCCATTGGAACTGAAATCCCTTCCAAGGGATGGATTGAAGTCTAGTTCCAATTAAGCAAAGATGATCACATCTTGATGGTTCCTGTGCTGGCCAAATTAGAGATCATTGGCTACAGAGCTATTGAGGAGATAGTCAAACATCGCTGCTGCAATTTACCTGAAGAGGCACAAGCCCCTAGCCTCATTAACAATATGAAATGTGTTCTTTCCTCATGTTGGCAGTTTGATAACTGAAGTATAATTAAATGCAGTAAAAATACACACACAAATGCAGCATAAAAACACACACAAATGCAGCTTGCCCATGTCCCATTGCTGCTCCATCCTTTTAGAGCAGGCATACACAACATGTCCCTGCCTCCACAATCAGAGAATCCCTTTTGATTATCCCTCAACAGACCTTCACTTCTTAAAGGGCAAAGGCAAATTGAATCCTGACATTCGCTTACGTGTGCCACACTCCCCCCTCTTATGTTAGGAGCATGTACTGGGCCTTTAAGAGCAGAGCACATGTTAGCGGGAACTGGATTGGGGCTAGTGAGAACTGGCTGGAGGCACTCCATAGTCAGCTTCACCAACTACACAGCTAGGAGCACGTGACTTCCTTTTGTTTTATGTAGGTCTGTTTTAGTTCTAATAAAGCCTTACTTCTATATCCAGACTGTGCCTCCTTCTTACGAAACCACAAGACAACACATTGTAAATGTAATGTCATCCCAACATTTATATTAAAAAAAATCTAACATACAGTCCATCCATTTGACTTATTAGTAGTCATCCACGAGTTCCACAAGTGCATGGTGCTGCTCTCTTACCAAGTGGCAGAGTACTTGTCAGGAACCTTTCAGAGAAAGGAGGGAAAGGCAAATTAAGATCCTAGTGGGAAGATAAGATTCATGTAGAACTTGAAAGAAAAGGGGATAGCTTAGTCTATGAAGTAAAAGCAGAAAATGAAAAAGGATGTGTTAGAGTTCTTCACTGCAATTTTTTACTTTCCTGTGACTTCTTAGTCAGGGATATAACTCCATCTTCTAACCCACCACAGCACAAGACACAGAAAACAAGGCAAGCTAGTGCAATAAGAGTTAACATAAGGACAGGAGTTTGGATTCCAATGATTCTTATAGTTAGAGTGAAGATGAACCAGGTTACGTCAAGGTACCAGATACTCCCCATAGCACAGACACTCAATTCAGAGGTAGAGGCCTGGGAACTGAGGATGTAGTTGATTCTGTAAACTTGAAAGCAGCTGGTCGGAGTGATAGGACATTCACACCTGCTGTAGAGAAACATGAATGCCAAAACAAGACCATGGAACCTGAAACAAGTAGTGCACAAGAGGACAGATCACCAGAACAATCCACTAACATGTGAAGTCACCTGACCAGCGAGAGACGAGACCTACAGACACTGACATGTGAATGATTAGGAACACCTACTTATAAGTGTCTAAATCCAACTTTTGGACTAGTGAATGTATCATGGAGTTATCCATGTGTTTGTCACATGCCATACCAAGTGCCTATTCCTGGACCTAATCTTACATTTCTATTCAAGGCTGATGTAATATTGGGAAATGAAATATTTGATAGCTGTGGATAGTTTATAATTATGTTAACTTAGTACTGTGATGCTATATGATTGAAACATGACAATTTATATAATGAATATTGCCATTGTTAGACAATTGCAACAAATGGCGTATAAATATATCATGTATGGTGTTAATGAAAATGTTATGATTTGCTAAGTATGATTATCCTGTTTATATCCATGTATCATCACAGTATCTGAAGTTAGGAATATTGGTTATATAGATCTATATCCCAAATGTGTTTGCTCCCAGAATAACATCCCCAAGGTAATTTACATCCAATCTGGCCAGCACATTGTGAATGAACTATTCAAGTTGATGGCCCATTAAAGAACACCTAACACTCACAATGGCCCATAGAAGAAGCTCCTCCTGACCCAGTGAGCCTTCCTGCGGACACCTTAGCCAGAATATGTGTAAAGGCTGCTCCTGTGAGTCTTCAAAGCATGTAAGGGTCATGTGACTCTGGATTCCATCTTGGGCCTATAATAATAAGGAAGCTCTAATCAAGGACTGGCTTGGTAGAATAACCACCAGTTTGGGGTGAGTCTGCCCCATTTCTCAGCAGCTTGTACTGAATCTGGCATCCTTAGCTGTGACCCACTGAGGCTCAGTGAAAGGTATATTTTCTAACTAGCTTGCCATATGCCCAGTAACTTGGCATGACATGGTTATAGCACTGATCGTATAGGAACTGTTATTCCATAAGATATGACTATCTTTGGGAATTTGAGGTGTTCAGGACTGACTGTTCAGTTGCATAATGGAACTAAAATTGCCACAGAAGCTTTCTGCTGAATGTGACATAAACTAAATTTACTTGCAGAAGGTTTCACTGTCAGTACCAGAGCTTGTTACAGAGGAAGATACTCAAAGACTAACTTGAGAATGACTGTTACAAGCCTGTGGAACTTGGATGACTGCTAATAAGTCAAATGGATGGACTGTATGATATATTTTGTTAATAGAAATGTTGGGATGACATTACATTTATGAGTGGGGAGTGTAGCACTCAGAAGTCAATGTCAGGCTTATGTTCTCCTGTGCCCTATCCCTTTAAGGACTGAAAGTCTGCTCAGGGGGTCAACAGGGATGCTCTGGTTGCAGACACAGAGATGGATGTGCTCTAAAAGGACTGAGCAGTAATGGGGCTTGTGCAAGGTGTATTTCTTTGGGGTTTTTTTATACTAAAGTTAATAAAACTTCAGTTTTAACTGTCCCTGGTCTGGGAGTGAAACAATGGCATAATAATTGTTATCATTAGGCTTCTGAGTTAGCATCCAAATGAAAGGAATGGGTAAGTAGGCTCATCACAGAGCTATTACTACAGGCTGGCTGCAGACTCAGGCAGACATCACTCCATTGGTTTCATTCAGGTCATGTTAGGGCAAGTGGTCTTCACAAAGGCTAGAGATTTAACATTTTTTAGAAAATGAAAGCTGAACTTCTAGAGCACAATTCTGCAGCAAGGTCTGTATTGCATAGCAGTTGCATAGACAGGAATTCCCAGAGCACATGGGGCCCTGTTGACAGAGAGAGGGACGGAAAGGAAGCAGACCATACCAGATCCAAAGAGGTCACAGAACTCAGAGTGTGCCAGAGAAGAAGAGTCTGGTGGCAGTCAAGGCCTGCAGATGGAGCCCTACCAAAGTAGATGAGGTTGTGGCTGCTGGGTCTGAAGACATAGCCGGTGGCCCGTGGGTTGTTGACATCAGCCCCCTTCTCAAGCATTGCCTTCACAAGTTTGAAGTTCTTATTCACCACAGCGATGTGGAGAGCAGTCTCCCCTGCAACACACAATCACACCCCTTTTGTAATGCCAACATTGCACCACAGGGACCAGAGGCACTTCAGAGATCCACTGTGCAACCAAGGCCACTTTATTAGTAAATAACTGAGAAACCCAATGGGCAAAGTCTGGGGTGTTCAAAGGACCCTAAGGAAGTCACCTGCCCAGCTCCCATAGAATTCCGGTTGCATGTGAGTGATTAATGTCCCTGGGAAATTGCAGCCCAAACTCTTATCTCTGTTACACTGACTGTCCCAGTGACTTCAATGGATTCACCCCAGCATAAAGGAGAGTAGAATTTTGCCCAGTGTTTTCACCAATACAGCCTTTATTGTCTTAGCCCTAAGATAGGAGTTGCAACTGTGAAATTAATTGCTGTGAAATGAATTACACTTGCAACTTCTCTCTCACCACTTTTCAGTGAAGTGCTTTAGTGCCTCGTTAATTCCATTTATGCTCCTGCTCATATTTTACACTTCTGTAACACTTTTCAGCTGAGGATCTCAGAGCACTTCACAAATGTTCATCAATTAAACCTCACGTTAGCCCGTTTGCAAGAGCCTGGAATCACTAGCCTGAAACTAAATGCAGCGAAATTAAGTGACTTGTTCAATAACAGGATGATAGCTAGAATTCAAGTCTCCTGACTCCCCATCCCTACTCGAGCCACTAGATCATATTCTCTCCTCCCTTGCAGCTGGTTCTGGAGTAAAAGGAGGCAACTCTTTAACAATGCACAGTGACAATACAGTTCTCGGTAGACTCTACAGAAAAAAATCCATATCCTAGTGAAAATGCAGAGGGAATTAATGAAGGTAGAATGTAATTTACAAACCCGGGAATTAATAACCCCACTCTGGAGGGCCTAGGTTTTATGTCTCATCTGGAAGATGGCCGGTCCAGCAGCACTGAATCCTCCTAACAACATGTGAGGTATTTGGGCCAGTACTGACTAATAGAGGAGACCAATCTCTAGTGAATCAATCACACCACTCCCTGGAGCTTATCTCCCTCTAGTACCACACTGGGGGTAGGTCTATACTTACCTCCGGGTCCGGCGGTAAGCAATCGATCTTCTGGGATCGATTTATCGCGTCTTGTCTAGACGCGATAAATCGATCCCGAAAGTGCTCGCCGTCGACACCGGTACTCCTGCTCCACGAGAGGAGTACGCGGAGTCAACGAGGGAGCCTGCCTGCCGTGTCTGGACCTGCGGTAAGTTTGAACTAAGGTACTTCGACTTCAGCTACGTTATTCACGTAGCTGAAGTTGCGTATCTCAGTTCAAAGTGGGGGGTTAGTGTGGACCAGGCCAGAGACACTAGATTCAGTAATAATTTAGATGGAAAAGCATCGCCTACTGAATCAATACTACTTCCTCCAGCACTTAGATCTTTCCTTGGAGGTTTTCCACTCAAATCTTGACCCTGATTAGCTAGGAGTCCAGATATAATGATTGGATCTCAGCTTTTGGGGTGATAGTTGGGAATAGGATATCCTCCAAGGATAAAATGATCCTCTAAATGCACCCTCTTTTAAAGGACTATGGCATAGGTTTAATTTCCTGGAGATCTGTTGGGAACACAACAGCACCTATGGGTTGTTGAAAATGCAGTTAAGTGGCAGTAAAATATGACTCCCTGAAACAGACCATTTTATAAAGGGCACCTAGGAATCTGGACACAAAACTAACAGAATTTCAGCTACTATGCCATATCTCCCAGCCATTCCGGCAGTCTCAGCCCATGACATATTCATCTTGGCATTCTTACCTGCATAGAATTCTGATGTCATTGCTTCATTGACAAGTTCTGGAGCTGCATCCATCAGAATCTGTGCAGCCTCCATACTATCATACAAGGCAGCCACATGAAGAGCTGTCTCCCCCAGGGCACCTGGAGAGAGAGAGTCATATATATGTGTCGTAAATTCCTTTGCCAGCCTGGTGAGATGAATCTTACTAAGAGTAACACACTCAATCCAGAGGACTCCCTACCCTCACGCAAAGAGTGTTTTCACCCCAACCTGCCAAGATCATCCTTTTCTACTGCTTGAGAAGTATTTCCATCCTTCAGACTCAAAGTCCCAAGGCGTCTTCTCCTTGCAGCTATCCTAGTCATGGACAGCATATGGAGTACCCTACCTCTTTGATGAATATCACAAGTATGGCAGGTGAGAAGTCTCTGGATGGTTTGGACATCATTTTCCTTGGCAGCCTGGAGCAAGGGAGACTCCCAGATCCTGCAACAAGAAAAATCACCAGATTAGAGCCTTATAATAAATAAGATACCCAGAGTAAACACTTTCTTCCATGTCAGCAAAGCAGTCAAAAAACAGGGATGCAATATTTTATTACCAAGATGATAGACAGCTTAGAAATGTCTAAGAAAGCTAGACAGGCACATGCATGTGTAATCCATTTTCTATAAGGTCAATTTCTGCATAACCAAGGGAACTGAAGTCCATTTTTAAAAAGCCTTTGTAGTCCTGATAAAAATGTCACGTAGGAAACAGAATTCTGGCTCCACTGGTAATTTATGATTCCAGGTTATTTCTACAATATTTATAAATCTTGAGTAGAAATTGCTAATAGTAGGATACTGCAAAGTAACAAGTCAAATTCCCACTAATTTCCCAATGCCAGGCCACAGCATTGTCATATCTGAACATGAGTGAAACATTTCAATACATTCTTCATATGATTGTAAAATGCTGTATTTCCATTTCAGATTCACCAGCAGATTTCATGATTATAGACCAGTATACATTGGATTAGTGATTCTTGTTAAAGCAGAGAGTTAGCTAACATTCTCCTCTTTCTCTGGCACATAGAAGTACACAATCAGTGGGCATTACATAATGCTTTGGGCCTAATTCTCATTTCACACACTGGTTTTACGCAGGTGTGCCTCCACTGATTTCCATGTGGCTACTCTGGATTTACACACTTATAAATGAAAGCTGAAGAAGGCCCTTTGAATCTGGGTGAGAGTAGAATTCAAGCTGGAATAGTGAAAGAACCATAGTGGACAGTTCAGGTGCTCTAGGCAAACAGAAAAGCAAGTGGAATCTCTGTTGTTTTAAGCAGGAATGCTAAAGCAGTTCTGTAATACTGAGCAGATACCCCCTCAGCATCACTGACAAGGACTTTGGAACAATCAAAGAAGAGATACACAAGGGATCTACCAAGGAGCGCCGCCAGCTTTTCTGCCGCCCTAGGCGGCGGAAGGTCCCGCCGCCGAAATACCGCCGTGGTCGCCGCCCCCCAAATTGTAGCACCCTAGGTGACCGCCTAGGTTGCCTAATGGGTTGTGCCAACCCTGGATCTACCCAGTTTTCACACTGAGCCCACTGAATGCCAGAACAAGACTTTGGAAGTTTCTTCAGTGCTGTGTGAATGCTCATACAGTGCAGGCATGATTGATAAAGCTCATAGTTTTTTCCCTTCACTAGACTGTCTGAGGCTGGGTCTTCACTACCCGCCTGAATCGGTGGGTAGAAATCGACCTCTCAGGGATCGATTTATCGCGTCCCGTTGGGACGCGACAATCAATCCCCGAATCGAAGCTCTTACTCCACCAGCGGAGGTGGGAGTAAGCGCCGTCGACGGGAAGCCGCAGAGGTCGATTTTGCCGCCGTCCTCACAGCGGGGTAAGTCGGCTGCGATACGTCGAATTCAGCTACGCTATTCACGTAGCTGAATTTGCGTATCTTAAATCGACCCCCCCTGTAGTGTAGATGTAGCCTGAGTGTTTTGATGAAAAGGAGCTCCAACTAACAGGAGAGAGGTTCAACAGCAGAGGATGCAACACTACACAGGAGGGTACTGTGGGCATGAGCTATATCATGTTAGTGGCTATGGTGAGAAAAATGTGAATAAAATAAAACAAAATAGACAAGCTCCTAGAAAACAGATTATATTGAACAAACCTGCACTGGGCAGAGTGGAGTGGCCTAGCCCAATAGATTTTTTGCATATTGAATTTCTATTCTCAGTGGAACAGCACCTTCTAACTCCACATATCTGCTTCCTGGAGGACTTGTTCTCTCAGCGCAGGATACAAGTAACTCCCACTGACAGCAAACAAAGACCGAATACTAATATTTTGTATTTATATAGTGCCTTACATCCAAGGGCTCTAAAGAGCTTTATGAATATTAATGAATCAAGCCTCAGAATACTTGTGGGAGAGAGGGAAATATTTCCCCCATTTCATAGATTAGGCAATCAATACACAGAGAATGGAAGCAATTTATTTAAGGTCATAGAGCAAGTCAGTGGAAGAACCAAGAATAGAACCCAGGAAATTTTGACCACCAAACCCCTACTCTAACCACTAGACTACACACTCTGAGCATGTCCTATTCTAAAGAGGGTTCCAATTAAGTGCCCAAATCCTACATGTGGTGCTAACAGATCAGGTACCAGCTCATGCCAAAGCCCCAGGCCAATTCACTTGTGTGTTAGTATAGATTAAAGTGATTGTTAAATGTATAAGAGTATATTTGGTGTTGAAATTTCATGAAAACTAATGGGATGGTACGTGCATTGTTTTCACATACCTGTATCCCGTTATAACGTAATAGCAAACATTTACATTGTGTATACTCCTGTAACTAACCCATCAAATGCGAAAGAAGCCTTGTGGAATGCAAATGAAGAACTTTAACAGAAAAGTGATCAAACCAAGTGATCTTTGTGTGTAATGATCAGAGGTCAAAGACTCTAAATGCATTCCTCACTCTCCATCATCAAAGGAAGAGCCCACCTGGGTAGTGAACCTAGCAGCTTGTTTTCTGTGAGAAGAAGCTATAAGTATGGATTCAAAGAAAGATCCTTCATCTCTGCACTGTTCGGATTCGAACAGGCCAGAATAACTGAACGAGAAGATGGAGATCCCCAGAGTTATTCTAGGTAGCCCTGAGAGATTTTTGGGAAACTGGCAGATGACTACATCTCTGCTACCATTTAGAATTACAGACTGTGACTCACCTGTGCATATTTTTTACCTGCTTTAACCTCTCAATAACTCTTGTTTCCTTTTTTTAGCTAATAAACCTTTAGTTAGTTTAGTATAAAATTGGCTGCCAATGTTGTCTTTGGTGTAAGATCTTGGGTAAGTGACTGGTTTCTTGGGACTGGGAGCTACCTGAATGTGGTGTGTTTTCTGGTGTAAGTGACCATTTTTCACATAGTCCAGCTTGCCTGGGTGGCAAGATAGACTGGAGAGTATAAGGGGACTGTCTGTGACTCCATGGTAAGACTGGGATAGTGGTCCAGGATTTCACATTTGTTACTGGCTTGGTGAGATCTAATTATAGCACACACCATCAGTTTAGGGTGTCTGCCTTGTTTTCTGACCATCTGCCCTGAGGTAGGCACTCCTAGTGGTGAGCCAGTCAGGCAGCATGACACTGCATTTCCCCCAACCTTTTATAAGCTGCCACGAGAGCTTCAAATTAATACAATTTTCAAAGAAAAAATGGTGTGCCCATTGGCATAAGCTACAAGGTCATGTGGCACATTGAGGTTACCCATGGGTACAGGTGAATTGCTACTGCCTGCTTATGGGTTGAGGGAGCCTTGTTTGCCCCACTCTTTCCTTCTGCAGGCTAGCAATTTGCACTCCCCAGCCCTTAGGCTTCCTGAGTGAGTCCTTGAGGCAGAGCAGAGAGAACCTGTTGCTAAATTTCTGGAGGTAGTTAGCTCCCAGAGTTCTGCTTTGGCCCCGGGGCATGTATCCTGCTAACCTGTCCATACACCCCACTGCATTACACTCAAGTGCCCAGTCCCTTGGCCTCTGGATACTCTCAGTGCACACAGATTCACTGCCCGCCATGGAAGCAGTGTCCACCAGCTCACTAGTTTGACCTCAGTTACAACACCCTCCTTAGCACACAGCACTTACTGGTATCTATAGTAAAAACAAAGAGAAGTTAAAGTTTATTTAACAAAGCTTAAGCTAAAGATTCAAATAGAAGCAAGTATAAGGATTGGAAATATATAACTACAGATAAAAGAAAAATATAAAACATAATCTATATTTATTAACAAGTTCCTTTCCTGTCTAACATGGTATTTCTCACCAACGGTCAGTCTATATAGCACTTCAAGTATCAGGTCTAGAGTGCTGGGATCCACTTTTCATGAGACGCTGACAGAGTATTGCCTCCCTGACGGATACCACCATGGGCCCTTCTTTCTCCTATTAGACAGTTCCAGACCTTTTGTCTCTTTTCATAACCAGGGCGTTTTATTAACTTCAGTTTGCCCTGATGCTAACCCCTAGTCAAGCCCTTTTTCTTGGGCTTTTTGTGTTCCGTTAAGGCTCAAGTCTGCACCTTGTCAGAGTGTAAACACTTGGCTGGGTTGGGTCGATAGATTGTCAGCTGTTCCCACTCTTGAGTGAGTTAGCCATGAGAACCACCCTACCCCAGATGACCAGTTTCACCTCCAGCAGCTTTGGAACACAAAGTACTTACATAACTCTTAAAATGTTTCCATCCATCCATCCCACAATAACTATGATGACCAGTGAGTTCTTAACTTTCAGCAGAGACCATACATGGCCATAGGTAGCCACGGAAAAAAAATAGTGGATGCTTAGCCAGCTCTCCCCAAAGCCTCCCGTCTGCCTGCTTCCCACTGATCAGTGCCTCCCGATCCCTCCCAGTGCCTCCCGCCTGCTGCGATCAGCTGGAGCGGGGACAGGGCGCTCTGGGAGGAGGGGCGGAAATGGGAGGGAAGAGGTGGGACAGGATGGGGGCTTGGGACAGAGCAGGGGGGTTGAGCACTACCCAGGCCTGGAGGAAGCCGGCGCCTATGCACACAGCTTTCTTTGGTGAAATATCATGCTGATCACAGGCAAAACATGTCTGTCTGGGCATGTTTAGGCAAATCCTTGAGTATAGACTTGTAACTGTGTACCCCCATCCATTGCCAATGTGGGGCACTTGGGTCACATACATGCCATAGCACAGGGACTCACCCAGCCAGTTTAGTCTGCCAAAGTCAGACAGCAGTTTGCAGTCTGATAATGTGATAGCCCAAGCAAATATACTGATTAGATGCACTCCCATGTTTCCTAAAAAGATGATGTAAACCACCTCTAGCAGCACGTAATGCAGCATGGTGTACTAAGTCATGCCCAGGTCTACAGCAGTAGGTCAAGAGTGAGGTCACTGGCAGAGCTGTGGTGCAGAGCAAGACTGAAACAACAGAGGGTGCTGCAATTCAGGAC